CCCCCTCTCTACTCTAAACACCAACACTCCTTTCAGATCGTGTTTCACAAAACGTCTGATTTACATATAGAACAATGAGCAAAATATTTATTAATTCAACATTTTCTGAGAAATGCTATATATTTAGGATCTTTCAACCAGTTTTGGTTGAACATACAACGTCTTTTTGACTTTAATGAACATTTTTTTCTTTGATATTAGTAGCTGGCTTGTCTCGGAAACTGGGAAATTCTTCACTTGCTGTACGTTGCTTCTGAATCGTCAGAAATTTCTTGAGGGTGTTGACTTGAGCTCATATAAATATAAACAAATATTTGCATTCTATCATTATCATTCTGAACAAAACGCTGCACAGCGAAAATATTCTATTGCTCGTAATAAATCTCAAGGCTCATATCCAAGTGCATATTAAAGTATAATCGGCTAAAATCTCTACGAAACTATTCATCATTAGATTAAGATACATCGTAAAATATTTTTAATAGTCAAAAAAAAAAAGATTACAATACAATTTCATACACAAAAAAAGATAGAGCACACCCTTTCCCAGAAAATACAAAACATAAACGCACATGATCTTGACTAGAATAAACATGCAATAGACTATTCATTATTCGACAGAAAAGAAACAAAGTAAAATTATGAGATTAAAATGTTTATGACCATATAAATTTAATGACATGCGCAATATTTTGACATTCTCTTGGTGCTAAAATTCCACCTGCTGTATATAAACCACTCAGAGTACAACTTTGACAGCGAACACTAAAACGACATCTTACACGTTCAACTGAGGCTTTAAAGCCGTCATGGACTAGTTCGTCAACAACAAATCTAAATATTTCAATAAACAGAGATAAGTTCTGAAAAAATAAAAGTCGAATTTTTCATACGCAACAAGTTTATCCATATCAATATGTATATCGGATTGAACAGGTTTAAGTTGTTTTTGAATTTGTAAATCAGCTGTTAGGCCATCGAAGGCGCAAGCTAGAAAAACCAAATAAATTTTCAATAGATTGCATAAAACTCTAATATTCTAGCATACCATGATTAACTGTAACGAATTCTCGACTACAATTATAACATGGTATAGTTCCTTTTAATTTTGTGTGATCAAGTTGTGTTATAACGACACGTGATTCATGAAATGATGAACGTTTTTCAGCTGATCGATTAATAATATCCATTTTCATGTGTTCATAATCAGGTATAAGACGACGAAATGATTCTCGACGACGTAATGATATAACACATGGACTTGAACTTTCTAGTTTAGCTATAAGTGAACTAATACAAAAGAATTCTGTTTCGCGTAATACATCTAATGCAACTGATTCCGGTGGCATTTGATCACAACGGATGTAATTTAAAATATGACTAAAACGAAAGAACACACCATATTTTCAATTACTGCAAATATGAAAAACAACAAATGCAGAATGCTCCTAAAGTCAATTAACGGAACAAAACAAAAATTTAAAAACTCTAATACAATTCTAATGATCTGTCTATGTCGGTGGCAATGAAGTGTGCGTGATTAATAGCCGCCAGGAAGCTATTGAAAAGAACCGTACTGATATGTCATAATGAACATCAACATATTAATGAACTTTCCACTTTCAGTTCGATGAAGAATATTCACCGACTACTCCAGTTCAATATTTTCCTAAATAGTAGTAAATCACCGGCTCATAATAATCTTTAAAGTACTGTGCATTTCTGTGAAGTTATAATAAATACTTTAATAGATTTTCTGCCTTTAGAGATACAGTTTTATTGATAGAAATTCCAAATTAAGATCAACTCATAAAAGGAAGAATTACTTAAAATTACAGTATATCGGTTAAAACTCTTTAAAACAATGAATAATCTTTTAACTATGCTATATTATGTACAGTTGGTTGACTGATATTTGCTGAAACATAGGGTCAGATGTTACAGATATACTGCCTCTGAAGCAATCAGATAAGATATAATTGGTATTTCAACACACATAACGTAATAGTAAACCGATATTTTGCACCAGCTTCTTAATAAATATGAATCTTATAGACATTCTAGTATCATTGCTATAGAGACTACTTTATATGCGTATGTATATCACTGTCATATGCGATTATTTTTCTATATTTAAATAGTCAAACTAACTAAACGTATTTTCATGATATCAATTACAAATGGAAACGCTTGCTTCCTCTAAATGTTTCTGTATTATGTAAATAACACAACACAATCAATATCTTATGAATATATTTCGATATCCGTAAGATCTATTGATTGAAGAACTAATATTTCATTATGTTTTTATCGATATTTTTGAGACTGTTCTAACTTAAAAAAAAACTCTATACGATACAACAAATAGTTTTCTTTTTAATTCTTCAAAACAAAAACAAATTTCATACCCAAACTGACTTCCATCACGATCAATAAAAATATGTCCTTCTTCATCTCTCACAAGGTCATATCGTCCACTGAACATAACAGCTAACATTGAATCATCATATTTTCGTAATGTTGATAAACTAGTTGTATAATGATAACCACCTACATTAAGATCAATCACATTAGGAAACTGCAATAAAAATAAAATTAATCATATTAATTTAATTCTAAAAAAAGAAAAAATAGAATTTACTGTAATTTGATCCTGAGTTTTTGGCAAAATAACAAGCTCCATTGGTGGTGTTTGATGTCGATGTGATTGAACACAATGCTCGTTTTGTTCGTCACTTAATTGTGTTTTCAATTGAATTTGTGATAAAGTGTTTTGAACTTTATCCATTGACACTACTTCACTATCATCCGTTAGTATTTCAGGTGTCGATGTTCGAATCATAAATGTTTCGTTCATATCAGCAGCCATCGCATATCTAAAAAGTAGATTACATCATTTAGTAGATGATATTTTATTCATACGTCCATGTTTGTAGTTTTATTTAGAAAAACAAGAAAGTGAAGAAGAAAAGAGACGGATGAGACGCACAAAAAGAAAATTTTTTAGGACGATCGCTGAACTATGAAAAGAAAAAACTACTACGGATCACATGAAGTATTTATATGGAGCTGGGATGCCTTCACTACGACCAGGTCGATAACCAATAATACTACCACGGCCAATACATTCACCAATATAGAACCAAAACATCACTTCAAGACCGACAAGTGCATTTAAAGAAAATTGCTATGATTCATTTTAAATATAAAATTATAAATTAATTGAATAAATTGAAATGGCTAATTTACTTTAACTGTTAGTTGACGCCAAGCGCCAGTTGAAGCTGATTTAACGATCTGTTGTACTCCTTGTTGAATCTGACCAAATTCATTAGGCATTGGTGGACGCAATTCAACACGAGCAAAATACCAAAAACGGCTCAATTTTGATTGACCATAACGTGCTATTGCTATAAATTAATCCAATCGATTTTAATAAAAAGGATTAAAAATAAAACATACGAAGAGCAAGTTTTGGTACGAAAGCTGAAACACGATTAGCAATAGCAGCCATTTGACAGAATTTTTCAAGAGCAAATAAAAACAACAAGCGATAACACGTTGCTGAGAAAAATAGCTAATGTGATAGCTTTTCCATTGATTTTGTATGTTTGCCTTTTCTGTTAACAAGATTAGTTTAGATGTCGCTAATGTATATACGATCGTAAAAAAGTTATTTATAGTTGGCTTTTATTACTATTCTACATTGAAATGATGAGTGTGACTACGGATTATCAAATGTGTCATCGTTTAGATTGATTATATTTTTATCATGTTATTACATTATTGAACTGTACCTTACCATGGTAATTTGGTTGTTATCACATATTTCGTAATTTTCTTATCTATTTCACAATTGCCATTCGAATGACTAAGAATAGCTGTAAATATATATATATATATATATCATGAAACTCTGTCGACAAAAGTAAATAAAATGGAACGTTTTGTCAAGAAGAAAGAATCTACAGTAAATGTGGATTATGACATGACTTCTCCTCGATTTTCCGTTCAAAATATCGAGGAACTTCAACAAGGTCTAGATCATTTGAATGAACGTGGCTATGCTGTATTCAGTGAAATCCTAACGAATGATGAAATTAGCAATAGCATTGACTTGTTATGGAAACATTTGGAAAAATTACCAAGTCCCTATTGTATTCGACGTAATGATCCTGAAACATGGAAAGAACATTGGTAAGTTAATTTAATCAGTATGCTTATCAGCATGACCTTTCCGCGGCTAAAATGTCGAGCTGACATGAATTTTTTAACGTCACTTTTCCGAATGAGAAATGAGATCAGCAAACCAAATCTCTTGTAAACTATATTTATATTCGAATATGAATTGGTTACCAGAAAAATTATTGCTGTATTTCAAACGGAGACCACATTACAACTCTTTCTTTCTTTCTTTCTTTCTTTCTTTCTTTCTTGATGCTATTTGATAGCTGTTTGTCAGTTTCTTGCATTTCCGTTTTGTTGAAATTAACATAAACTATTGATCTCACTGAGAAACCAAGCTGCCGTGCATATCCATTATGGCGAAAAAAAGACCTAAAGAAACTAGTACGCATCCCTATATAATTTGAAAAAGTAACTTTGATTATTTCTCCGAAGTTATAACTCATGTGTTGTTTTGATGTTGATTCCATGATGATGGTCAAGAATGAACTCATGATTGTTCACTACTCTTGAGGTTCGTTATAATTAAAAATAGATTTGCGCTGTTTTGGTACATTCACAAATATCTTTCAATCATTTAAATTTTGCAGAAGACGTTTCAGTACTCTAATATAGTCTAAATATTGTTTGTTTTGTCAATCATACTTGGCTGTTTGTTACATAAAAAATCTCTGAATGGGATCTGCCGATTGTTGACTGTATTTGAAATAGAAACATACTTAGTGACCATCGAGCTATCTCGTTCAGTTCATGATATCTAAGGTAAAAATATACTGATTAGCTTGTGAACTCTATCGTTGCAAGAATACAAAATGTTTGAAAACCTTAAGTACAAACATTACACTATTTTTGTTTTTATTTTAAAATATAATGTTAGTTTCAAAAAAATGTAGATAATTTGAAGAAAAATCAATTTCTCGATAGGCCTGGACTTTCTGATATTGGTCTGTTAAATGATTATGGTATCGGTCAATCAGAATTCATGTGGTATATTCGTGGTAAACCATATGTAAAGAAAGTTTTTTCGCATATATGGAATTCTAATGAATTATTCACATCATTCGATGGAGCCGGTTGTTTTCGTGATTGGCATTTAAATGAAGAATGGAAAACACGATCTGGTTGGTACCATTGTGATCAAGTGAGTGTCTGTCAGCTTTTATTTTGGTTTTTCATTGTTTTTCAATGTTACCAAGAATCCATTTCGAAAACCTGATCGATGCTCAATACAAGGTTTGGTTTCTTTAACTGACAGTGATGAGTCAACAGGTGGGCTTGTTATCGTACCAGGTTCTCAAAATAGTTTTATTGATTTGCAATTCATGGTCAATGAAAATTCTTTGTGGGGTGATTATGTAACTATACCATCTGAATTAGTCGAAATGTTACGTCCTCGTTTAGTTAAGTGTAAAGCAGGAGATCTTGTTGTTTGGGACTCTCGATGTACTCATTGTAATACACCAGCTCTTATTGATGAACGCAATGGAGACTCATCATTGGAAACACAACTTTTACGTGTTGTTGCTTATATCTGCATGAGTCCATTATCAATGTTTGAACCCGATGGAGTCCGATATGATAGTTTAGAAGAATTTCGTGAATTAAGAGAAGATTTTGTTCGTGATCGAGTAACATGTACACATTGGCCATTGGAATTAAATACAGCTAGTATGTATTTTTAAAAATTAATTAGTTTGGATCAATATTTTTTTGTTGAACTGTTTCTTTTTTTAGGTCGATCATCAAATAAAGATAAAGTTCCACTAAAACTTAATGCATATCAACATTCGCTTATTGTCGGCACATACGTTGAGCCTACAGATGGAACAGCAGATATTATTTTTTAATATTTGATGTTCTTTCGATAAACTAATCAGATTTGACATAACTAATTCTGATAACAAAATAAAACTTGCGTCACTAGAAGAATCTATGATGTAGAATCTAATCTCGATCACATCCAAAGATTGTTCGTCGAGAGCTATTCCAACGGTAGACAACTGATTGAATTTTTTTAATGAGATATACAACAAATAAACTTCGATGATGATTATTACTTTGTACTTAGCCAATAAAAAGTTCACGATGAACGGTGTTCACTACAATGACGAAGCCACTGTTGCTTTATGCTATTTTATTTTATCAATTTTAAAACGATTATATTTAATAAAATTCAACAAAAATATATTTTAATGAGACTAAAGCAGATTCCATTAATACTAAAAAAATATATACTCTATTAGAAAGTTATTCTCTTATGGAGATTTTTCTTTTCTTTTCCTGTTTCTTCATGGAATGATCTATTTGATCATCAATGCACTCAATTAATTATAATAATAATAGAAGTAAAAAAAAAACTAGCTAGATAGTTAAACATTCAATTTTTCACCATGATCAAAATGCTAAATGAAGGTTGTGTAGAGCATTAGGTACTCTATAACTGTTTTTGCATAGGTCACGCTCATATACAACCTGGTTCTCCAACAATCCATTACTCGCTCTTTCTCACGAATATTATATGATTCTCTGTTGAATTGCTGTGACAAAAACGCCAGTCATCCACTAACATCATCTACCAGTTTCTTTACGAAAACTATTCGAATTTTCTTTGTAAAAAAAAGTGCAATAGCTCAAAAGAAAAACTAAAAAAAATGGAAAATAACATACTTACATACAACATTAAGCTTTTGATTGACATTTAATTAAAGATTGTTACTAGATATTTTCTTGTAGAAACATATTGCAAATATTAGGTTAAGTAAAATTTTATTTTCCTCATGATTAGCCTTATCTTGGCAAAGGTTAATACGCTTTGTATTCATTTTAAATTGTTCTGCATTGCAGAATAGATCAGTAACGAGAACAATAGAATTAACCAAAATATGAAGAAAAATCAGTGTTTGTTTACGTTGACAATCGCAAGGTAGAAAATCGAAACAATGTAATTTTCGAACAGACCAGAGTCACCATGAACTCGTTGAGTATTGAAAAAACTTGTACGCCTGTATTGTAAACAAGATGTTTATACTGAGATGCTAACTCGCAGAACTTTACAATTAAAATATCATCCTATCATTAATACTTTGATCTGATCATGAAGTTTATCCATCGCAAAATTGATAATAATTTAAAACTAAACCGATCGCTTAGTGCAACAACATTGTTTCAGGACGTATAAAGCGCCCTGTATTACTAAAACTATTCATATAATAGTGCGAAGTCGTTGATCACAGAATTAAAGATAATTTAATAAACTGTGACATGAAGACCAAATCTTCTGATTGTAACCATTTTTGATTATCAAAAAGAGTGAAATTGATATATCATTAATTTAAACAGTAGTTTCAAAATTCTTCTATAAGGAAAATATCAAGTCTGTTTGCAATATCTATGTAGATTTTGATCAAGGAAGCCTAATGGCTTCTATTGATATCTTAGATGATATCTGACGAGTGTTTTTTCATCCCGTTCAAAGATTTATCTTTGGTATGTTTAATAAGAGAAATTTGCACCCAAAACCAGAACTTTTGTACTAAAAAAATTGTTAAGTTATAATCAAATATTAAGTTTACAAGCAACAATAGCAGATTTTACATTTGCTGCATACTTCAAAGTATCTATCATAAAAATTTGAAGCAGATACGCTATACTTTTATTCGAAAAAAATTACGAGAGATCAGGAAAATTCAGAAATTCTTTAATATAATATATAATTTTCTGCTGTATACAACATAAAAATAATAAATTAATAATTCTGATGTACACAAGTCACTGTATAGATCATTTAGGGAAAATTTATTTGACTTTGAGCTTAACATTTTAACAAAAATGTATATACATCAAGGTTTAAATTTAAAATTTATTAGTGGTGCATACATCATGTAATATCTTTGAAATTCCAAAATATCCAGAATGATTCTAACGCAGATAAGTATTGGAACAATTTCTCGTTCGAATAGGATCATGTGGTTTTTATCGAATAATTTCATTCTACTATCGAATTGTCAAAAAGGAAAAGGTTAATTTATATCGGCTACGATCAAAGATTGAAGGCAGTTTCCGTTAGTAGGAGTATACTTTTTAGCAGGATGTTTGTTTTTTCGAGAAAAATGTTTTTCATATACTTTGCTCGCATGTGTTCAATGTTATCATAAGAGAAATATCCACGTAGCTTCTCGTTGTTAAATGATTCGTGTTAATTAAATACTCCAAAAGAGAGGAAACGTTCACCGGTATATTTCAACAGAAAATAAAATGAAAATCATTTCTATTTTCAATTGTTTTCGATAACTGTTAGAATTGATTCACCTTCATCTGCTGATATACAACATATACTTGTCGTTGTTGGCAATTCACCTGGCATTGTTTCACTTTCACTTGTACTTTGCGTTGAACATTTTTGATAATGTGCTAAACTACGTCGAGTTGATGGAATTATCGGTGTTGCGGAACAAGCATATGGTTGTGTTGAATTTTGTAATTCATTTTGAATGAAAATCTGTTCTAGTTTAGATTGATCACCATCATTACTGTTACGTCGTACGGTTGATATTAAAAATGTATTCGAGTATGAACGTGTTTGATGTTGTTGATGGTGTGTACGTTTTAGTTTTGATTTCATTTTAATTTTCCACGCAGTAAATGATCCATTTACATCATTTTCGGATCTTGTTTTATCCTTCTTTTTAAGCAGATTTATATTTTCTTGACTTTCACGATGTAATGCTAATAAACTTCGACGAACTGCCGCAGGTATTAGACGAGGATCAAGTAATTTTTCATTGGAATTTTCACCATAATGTTGACTTATCCTTGGTACCGGCAATGATATATTGCCTTCAGAAAGACGATTAGATCGTAGGCTATGCGATGGAACACATAAATGTTTAGTGAAACCATTCGCATCATACAAATTTGAATCATTCCACGATGAACGTAAACTACTTGGACTGGAAATATGTGGAATGGCAAGGCCTGTTGGAAATCGAGCACTCACTACTAGAACAGAAAATAAACAATATGTTAAATAAATAAGAACAATTATTGCTACATATTTTAAGTTCAATCAACAGTTAGATTTAACTGTCCTTTTCTAATAATTAAATCGTATATGTTAGATGTTAAACATTTAAATGGAGAGTTTCGTTTTAGATCCTTTCCTGAAAATACAATATAGCAGGAATCAATTAAAATATCCGAATAGATGAAACAATGGCATGTCAAACAAGAACATAACATCAAAATCTAGTTATTAGCTTTAGGTGAAAAATCTATATTAATCTCTTTATGATTGTATTCAAAACGTCTTCTAAAAAACATTCCCGTAATAGATAAAATATGTTTAAGTAAAATGAGATCTTCATGAACTGTATATTATCTACTTTTAGCGAATGACAATTATTATGCTATAGGTTTTAAATGTAGTTATATTTTCCTGTCATTAGATCCATTGACTATTTAAAATTTGTGAACCGTTCGTAGAACAGAATTTGGAGAGAATCATATAAACTTCTGTGAAAAAAGAGGTTTTTGATATAACTGAAAAAATGAGCAGCGTAAGTACTGGCTTTTCCGAAAATTAATATGTAAACTTATCGAGAACAATTTAACAAATCATTTTTCACACACAATATTGTTTTCGCCTTACTATTCAACAATGCATAATTTCTAAAGTAAGTTGATAACAGTTTCTTCTTATGCATCTATCGTAACAACATGCTAATGTTTTATAAAACTTTCATAAAACAGACAAAACGATTTCAATTAAGATATACACTTGTTAACTAATAGAATATCTGGATTATCTATCGATCTATCTATTGGAAATTTGTTTAGAAGAAGAAGCGTAACACAAATTTACTTTTCTTTGTGAAGATTTGATTTTTGGAACGTTCTCAAAATTTGAAAACTGCGATCGACTACTTGATTGGTTTCGAGCACCATCAATTTTTCTACAATTTCTTCTAGACATGTACTTATTGCAGGTGTCATCATCAACATCGCACCTATTACAACTCAAGTTGAAGTACAGTAAATGATACATCTTTTTTTGAAGCAATTGGCACTCAAATTTACAAAAAAACTAAAATTCGTCAAAGTAAGTAATAGTAGTCGAAAATCATAATAATTTTTATGCCTAACGCAAATCAGCATAAATGTTTAAACTATTTAAAATGGGTATTAACATCTACGGGGATATATTTATACCTGTCTCTCACAGACGTTACGAACATGTTAATAAGCAACTATAGTAGACATGTCAGGCATCTTAACAACGGTTGATTACAGACGTGACGGATACTGTTGATATACAATCACAGAACTTATATCACTAATATCTCATTATAATATATGAAATACTTTTCTATTCTATTTTTCAAAGATCAATTAAAAGGTTGGTAAAGGGATATATCGCAGAATAGTTAGAGTTAAAAGGATCCTGTTTGTTACTAACAGTCACAAGTACATCATGTTCATCATTGGGATTCTCTTGGGATTATCTTGACAAGTTTTTGTTTTTCGTTAAATTATCTCTCTGATCTATTTATTAGAGAGTAATAGTTATAAAAGAGTATAAAATAAATCAATAACTTATCTATTCATCGAGGGAACATTGGTTTCGTCAGATTCAAAACAAATTGTTTTCAACTGTAATGGCAACAAAGAAAAAATAGAAACTTATAGCTGGTTAATCTAATGAAAAAAGAAGACTATCAAGTGTCATTTGTATCTTTGACAACATAGCTACATTTAACGAACAAATATCTTGTATTTCTATGAAACGATTAAATTAAAAATTTTGATGATCATGATAAGTTTAACAATAATTCAATTGTGGAAATGATTTTCAACGATTGATGAATGAAAAAATGAGCGACTATGTGTATAAATTTATCAGCAGTGGCATTGCAAAGACGCATTGATGATAGTAATCAAGCAAAGGACGATCAAAAACGTGTCAGAATCGGCTATTCAACATGATAAATTGAAGTATCTTAGTTTACATCAATTTATGAAAAATTGCAATTAGATTGTAGTCCTTTTCTTTGTATTTCCACTGCGTATTTAGCACATCATCAAACTGAATCAACTAAAATATAATAACAATATTCAATTTTCTATGCACAGGAGTTTCTATTAACCCAATTCTTTAAAACTTATTTTACAGTAAAAAAAAGAAAGTGATTAAAGACCTGGAGTCGATTGCGGTGTATATATGATTGACAAGTTACACAGGCCGGAAAATTCCGCTTACAAAAACATCTCGTCGCTGAGATATTCAATTTTTTGTTGGACAAAAGTAAAATTCAAGTAGAAGAAATAAATGTTAGACGTTTTTTTCATGAGTTTCAATGACAGTCGTAGTGATTTTATGGTTGTAGGATAAATAGTAGTCAATGAAATATTTCATCTGAAATTAGAAACCACGCTGTATCGAAGCAAAAGAGAATCAGCTTCTTATGGTGAATTATAGTTGAGTCTAAAATTTGTCCAGAAACTATTCAATATCAACTAAATAAAGAATGTTTTTAATTATGTGAAAAATCAGCATGCATTAGTAAATACACATGTGACAGATTTTGTTAAAAAGGTTGAAAAAAAAGCCCTTCGACATAATGAAGTATCGAGATGCAGGAGTTCACTGCGTTTAAAAAAAATATTAAATAAAGAAGTTGAGAAAAAAATAGAGTGCGATTAAAAAAGTTAACATGATATAGAATAAAGATAAAATATTTCTAGTGGTGATAATTCTTTCAACATGAAATTTTCATAACACTAAATAAGAATCAAGTCGATGGTTAAGTTGAACTCTTAGTTCTTTTTTGTATTGAACATTGGATAGCTCTCGCTGGTTTACGAAGTAAACTGTTTTATCTAACGATTCTATGATGAAGATTGGTTTTCTTCTACGAATTATATACGAGTATTTTCGAAAACTTCTTTTTACCTGTTCGATGCATATTTTGAATGTTCTCAATAAGTTTATTTGATCCTATACTAGATTTTAAGTGTGCTATTGATGCTTGATAGTCAGTTGTTTCTTGGCGATTACTTGATGGAGTAGTATTTGTTGAATTAAATCCAACGACAATCGATACAGGAGTATTATCTGGAAGATCAACTTGATTAATAGCACTATTAGATAATGTTGATGGGATTGTCGCCGAAGGATTTTTCGGTAAATATTGTTGTACATAATTTATATTTTTCAATTCTTCAGTATTAACATGCGTATCAAGTAGTGTTGAATAACGTTTCTTTTTATATATAATTGAATCTTGTTCGCGTGCAACAATTTTTATATCACCAATATTCAATGGATCTTTTCGATTAACGCAATAATGTACTTGTGTTTCAAGTCGACGAAGTGATTTATATTGATTAAGACAAAATCCAATGGCTGAAAGCCATATAGCCAAAACAAAAAATATTAAGAATACTTCACTTGACATAATATCAGGCGCGGAACCCGGAGCAACTTTTGGTGATACTAAATGTAAATTTATTAAACTGATTGTATTGAAATCATGATAAGAAGAAGAAGAAAAAAAACAAAATATTTACTTGGCCTAATAATATCGCCAGCACATCGACATGTATTCGAATTTTCAACTAAATGGCATCGATTAAGAGTTATATTAGCTAGAAATTGACAAAACGTAACCATAGTTAATTCGCCCATTTCGATTGTTCAAACACAACATTAACTATTGTTAATGGTTTGGCAATATAGCACATAAAATACAAATTTTCTTGTTGTACTTATATTTTATTATACATTCTGTTAATGAATTCTCTTTGTCCAAACATTCATTCTATAGTATCTAGAAGTTATGATAAAAAGAAAGAGAGAAAATATTTTTGCTAGGTTTTTTTCCTTACCACTTACACAAGTCTACATCCGTTCTCTTTAACATATCTTGCTATAAAGATTAAGCTGAGAACTAAAAATAGTTTCCTTTTTTTTTTTACAATCGACAACAGAAATAGACAAAAACTAATAATAAAAGTCAATGAATAATATTACAACAGACAAATAAACTGTGAATTTTAGGGAGGAAAAATAGGAAAGCTAATTTATTTAAATAGCAACTAGTGTTCTGTCGATTCCAACTAAAACAAATTCCTAACGAGACATTCTAACATGCATATATAACTGATAATAGAATTAAAAAGACAAAATTTGTTTAGTAAATCGAAACAAATCGATTTTGATTTGTCTAACATTCATAATCATTATTCTATTCTCGTACTATCGAAGATTATTGTTGTCGCATGTAAACAAAGTACCTTCAATATTACTTTATTATAGAATCATAATTACAGTAGACGACAATTAAAAATAGTCAGATGAGTGTTGAATTGTTTTTGTTAAAATTAATTACAAAGAAAGACAAAGTTCTAGTTGAATACAATATTACTATATACTTCAAATGAAGGTGTTCCTTTATGCACTATTCACGATTTTTATAATTGCTTTTCATGTGCGAAAGAAAAAGAAAGAAATAATAAACTACTTAGCTATTTGTTTACTATTGTAAGCGAAGAACTTCACATCTAATTAAACTCGTTAAAAACCTTAGCATATATTTTCTTCACTTTTTATGTCGTCTTCACGGTGGAAGGTTTTTTTTTGTGTGCTGTCCGAATATGCATTTTTCATCAGAGAGAAACTCTTTAATTTCAGCAGTTTTTTAAAACTAGTTGCACTCGCACACTCGCGGTAAAAAAAACGCTTCTTCTAGTTATTTATTCTTGATTACACGATCATGCTTTCTACATGACGGTTGAACTGTCTGAGAAAAAGAAAAAATGTATAGTAAATTTGATCGCCGTTTACTGACAACGATTCAATCGAAAAATATTTACTTAGAAATTTAACTTATTGTCAATATGTAAATAATTGTACTATTGAAGAACTTGTGTTATATTGGAAAATAAATTTTTACATATACTTTTGAGCATGAATATTAATGTAAGATTAAATCTTATGCTGAACTCAATGATTATAAAGTATTCGTTACTATGCACAAGTGTATTATCATTTGGACTCTTCTTCTTCGTCTTGAAAAAGAACTAGCCATACATACTAATCCGTAGATTGAAATTTGTTATCGTAGTTGTTGGATGATAAAAAGGGCACAGAGTCAAAAGGCAGACGTAATCAGAACTTTTCTGAGCGGAGAGATGTATAGAATAATTGAATCAATCAGAAGAAACATGTCGCTATTCTATTCATCATTAATAATTTGTAAGTGCTCAATGAAACACCCGAGAAGAGGAACAAAGAATTATGCTGCCAGTTCCTTTGCCTTTTTATTTTATAGCATATATATGTATTCAACAGAAATTGATTTATTATTGGATTCAACCGTAGAGCAAACTGCTAGTCGCATATATATATATATATATATATGAAACAACAATAATTGAGTGGTTCTGATAGGCACTGCAAAACACAGATAATAATGAAAACCAATTGTCACAAAATTGAAGAACGAGGTTAAGTAGAAAACAAGCAGAAGTGATTTGATTACTATTTAATATTAGAGAAATATATGACGGACACATTTATCATTAATAAAAACCGTACGTCAACAGAGAACGCGTATAAATGTTTTCCATAATGGTTTACACCTAGGATAATTATACTGCTGACTAATAAAAACGGAAATATAAAATGCATTCCTACTACATTTTCTTTAATTGATTACATCAGAGCATAAGTTTTATATTATTTTATCTTTTATAACCAACAAAAAAAAACACATTCAATCCAATCCAGTATATAATAAATCACTGATTAGACAGATCAGAATGTCATTCATGAATCGAACTTTGGCTTACTATGGAGAAAAGCAATCTTTGGCATTCATGATTAATTATTGATAGTTGTTCTTGTTATTTTTAGAATATTCACATGATAATAAATTCACAATTGATGAGATTTACAAGATATTCTTTTAAAAATATAGAAAACATACGAATGAACTATGAGTTGATATAAAACAATTTAAAAACAAAAATCTTATTAAGCTGTTTGACATAAATAAAAGGCAGACTGCTCTAATGTCAACACGCTGCAACATGTTTGAACTTCTAATTAATGTTCTTGAATTATTTTGTTTTCATTCATGTGATAGCAGTACCTCATTAAAATAATGCATGCTCATGATTAATATATGAGAGGAAAACAATTGAAAAAACCCTCGGTGATCATTCCAACCGTTAGAAACAACGCTTTATTGTATTCATTTTTATCTTAATTCGTCAGCTTTTTTATGTTTTTTTCGCTGACAACTGGATTTCATTGCTTCGACTATTATTTTTACCGCTTTACTACCCTACAGAACGACATCATTTTATTTGAACTAAGAAGAGAACATCTTATACTGGCATTGAATAATTTCGACTCTGAGAGAAAAAAATCATGCTTTTATCTATATTAGATCCACATATGTTCATCGAATCATAGATATTTTATTACGGTGCATTCAATATTTGTGTCTAATTGAAATATTGTTTAGAGTCTGTCCCTGTTTTTCTTCTTGGATCACACAAAAAGACAAAGAGAACAACCATGGCAACCACCGGAGCATGTTTGCATGTGTGCAAATAAATAAATTGAGACATACGGAGATACATTTTGTTTCTTTTTCCTATTTAACATGTTACATGAATATTAAAAAAAAGAAATGTTTGAAACTATTGATTGTATTTAAAATGAAATAATAAAGTCAAAGTCGCCGACGACGAACAGATTCTACAATCGTTACTTTTCGTCGTTGAAATGGGTCTTCATGAATGGCTGTTTGTTGAGATTCATACAATTTTCCCCTAAAAATATTTTACATAGACACACGTGTCTGATAAAGTAAAGATTGAAATCTAAATGAACAACAGTTCAATATTGATATTGGATTGTTTATACTAATTGAAAATGAGATGTATAAAAGTTTCGATTTTTATACAAAATTATTTTCTCTTAAAAACGAATAAACTAAACATTAATTTATCAATTTAATCATGCAGTTATATTTTCAGTATAAAAAAGGTTTCAAACAAGCACACACAAAGAAAAATCATTAGATAGAAGTATGTGTTTTTACATGATTAAAAATTAGAATTCTAATAATGAGTATGTGCATATAAACTAATAGAAGCAGAAGAAGAATAGTTGTCATATGAAAGTTTTTAATTTATGGAATATATATCTCACCCATGTTTTTCTTGATTATGCAATGTTGCAATTCTTTTTTCGAGATATGGTGCTTCAATAATTAATTTCCCATCGATATAATTCGATTTTAAATTGTCAATATCTGTTTGTGGTGGTAGACTAGTTGATTGAAAAAATGATGTACGCGATTTACGTGTATCAGTTTCAACTTTTCTTTCTGCTTTAACAATCAATTCTTGATTTTGAACTGATACTTTTATATCTTCAGGCTGATAACCAGCTAAATCTAAAGACATGAGTAATTTTTTTTCATGGTTACTTTTGCCGTTTGCCGTCGTTTCAAGAATTTGTGGGCGAAATACTGATCGATGAAACAAATCATAATCAAATGGGGTTTTATTGTCAATGCACGATTCATTGATTGGTGTAATAGTTGATGTATTTGTCAGTATTGGTGAATTGCTTATTTCTGTATTATATTCCTTTGCATTTTTAGTATTCGTATTCGTTGCAGTAACATTATGATGATGATGATCTACTTGATTATGTATCGGTGGTGAAATAGTTTCATCGTTGGCTAATTTAAAATCTCCATAGGAAAATGTTAATGATTCATTTGTATTTTGAATTGGAGAAGTAAATGTAACATTATTTTGAACTTCATCCTTAGTTAGTTTTATATAAGGCATTTCAATTTTTAATTCTTGAATACTTTTATTATATAAATATGTGTATTTATTTAAATCAATATGTTTTGGAATTACAAATACTTTATGTAATTCACGACGTATATAACCACCATTATTGTCCTCTTCATTATGCTTAGCATTAACAATTAATTGATTTTGATAACAACATGGTATTATTGTAAATTCATTCTCTTGAAAATCATCTGTTTTTAGTTGAATTATATATTTATCACCTTGATCAGTTATCCGCTGATCATATGAATGTGTTGTTGTTGTTGTTGTTCGACCCAAGCCTAAGTCTGATGAATATTTTAACGAAGACATATCATTCAATTGTCCGAAATCATAAATCTTTTGAAAATATGTAGAATGTTCTTTAACCGATGATTGATTAGGAATAGTATTCGTTATATCAGGTAATGATTTAATATTATCCTTATTATTATTATTATTATTGTTGTTGTTGTTGTTGTTGTTGTTGTTATTCGATGATAATAATGTTGAAATATTAACGTGATTTTTTTTAGAATAATGAACTGAGACAGGATGATGAAACGATGCTGATGTCAAAAGACACGCTTGATTACTATGGTTTTGTTTTAATGTAATACTATTATTTAATGAACTTGATAATAAAAAAGAGTTCTTTTCCTGTGGTCGATCGTTTCGATTTATATGATAATCGTAAATTGATGATTGTTTTCGGTCGTCTTGATATTTGAGTTGTTCTGATGGAAAAAATTGGTTATTTTTATTCTTATAACTTGAGAGTTGTCCGTGGGAATGTTGATGTTCGTATGGTTGATTATGGAGAGTTTTTTGCTGTTCTTGGACGAAAGAACGAGGAGAACGATCGTAGTACGTTCGAGACGTTATGTTCTCAGTAGTTGAAGAGAGAAACCGTGAAGATGATGACGGAGACAAAGAATTCGTTCCTCTCTGCCCTTGATATAGTCTTTGTTCGTCCAATGGAATCCAAGAAGAAATATATTCTTTTGGAACTGACTTTTTTGAAGTATTGGTAATCACTTCGTTCGATAAATAGAAGTTTTGCTTCGATTGATTCAGCAAAAATGACTTTGATGATGGAATTGCTGAAAAACAATAATTATTCAGTACTAATGATGGTAACGATAGTTTATTATCAATAAAATATCGATTACGGCATGAACCAATATATGGTATTCGCAAAGACGATGACTGCAATAAGCAAAAAGAAAATGTGACGGATTTAATATAAATAATTGCTTATAAATTCCCCTTTGATCTCATTCATACGCCTATATTCATATGTATTCATACTTAAAAGCAACAAAGAAAAAGTAGAATGAAGAAAAAACGGCTAATGTAAGCTAACTCAAGGTTGATGAGCTAACATTATATACAAATCGATAAATAGACTTATTTTTTTCAACAGATAAATCATAAAATGCATACGCAGATGAAGCGACTTCTGAATCTTGTTGTTGGAAAAAAATGAAAAGAAAAGCAACCCCCAAGAGAACTGATCGTGCTTTCTTCATATATGCAAATATTATATCGACAGTCGACTTATTTGCCTATTAGACACTATCATTATCCTGAAACTCAATTACACATTGTTTATGATGAAATGATAAAAAAATTGTTTTTGAAATCATTAATTTTTCTAAACACATATCTAAAATGTACCGTACCGTAGCCGTATTTGTAGACATCAGATTTTGCATGAATGTATGCAAGCAAGTATTTTAACTAAATGGTGCCATCAGTTCAATATAGTATCTCGAAAAAGGGTTTTTTTCTTACGACTTTATTTATTTAAATAAATTCTACAAACAGAAAAAGCTTCTATGTTTTCTTTACATTTCAACAGACTTCTTTTTATTTATTTATTATTATTATCATTATGAGAAAAAAGAAAAAAATTGTTTATCTACAAGCAGTTCATTGATGTAATTTCTCGTGCCACCTTTTTTGTGTGTAAAACAATATCGAATCTCTATGAGCACGCTTGATTCAAGTAGTCTCATAGATGACATAAGAACGTTTACATACTGTACTTTTATCGATACGAATACAACAGAATTTATTTGCAAGTTGAGCAATCTAAAAGAATTTAATTGCATTGATTGTGATATATGGCGATTGATTACTTTTTATCATTATCAGCTCGCAACAATATTGAATGTTGAGAAGTTCATATTTTAGACTTTACTCTTTCTTGTCTTAACCAATACGATCAGATGCATGATTTTGAACTGTTTTAAATTTTGCTTGTTCAACGTTCAAGATAAATATTATAAGTTTAGTATATACAACTATGTATAAACATTGACAGATTATGTATTCATTTTTGTTAGGGGAATACAAGAAATGCTTGCACGCTTTTGAATGTACTGAACAAATAATATTCGTTTGAGATAACGAAGCCGTTACATGATAATCATGGATAGACACACACTGATTAAAAAGTATATATTACATAGAGTACAAAAATATAATCAAAAACATGAAACCAATCGATTTATATATACGTATATATATTTCATGGAAGTAAATTACTTCTATCTATTTTTTATTTTGGATGACCATAACATGTTTATAGCATGACTAGAAAATTCTCTCGTCTGCTATGCTTGTGACTGTTCTTTGTTCCGTCTTTTCTCCCAGGTGCATATTCCTAGACGTGCATCATTTCGGTGGCTTTTCTTGTCATTTTTTCTAAGCTCTATGTGAAAATATTATAATAACAACGAAAGAAAACTATTTTATTGAAATATAACAGATGACACTTGCAGATTCGATGAGCATAAGCAATATGTCTGTCAAGAATAGTATTGTCAAAAAAAAGTAAGCCTGCTATTTTTTTCCAGATAGGAAGTTACCGATGAAATGTATGCAATAAAAAGATTTAATTACAGCCGAAAAAGAGAATTCGCGCCTTTGCTCACATTATGGCTAAGTTCTAATCCCATGGGGATGAAAAGAGCCTGGAAATATTAATGATAAGAATGTGATTTATGTTCTTTTTGTTCAAGTATGTAAAAATCTTGAATTAAAAACAAAATTCTGTATAGATGCTTATCTGCTGTAGTAAAGCCGCTATCGAATCTTTTTTGTGTGAAAAATATCTTATTAATCTTACAAGAAAAAACTTTTAGTAAGAAGACATTGTCACTATTATCAAGATTTTTATTTCAAGAAAGAAAAGAAGACTATATCTTGTAGCCAGAGAGTCAATTATTAACGGAAATATTTTCAATTACCACTTACGGTTTAATAGGATATAAAATACTCGACTCATACTGATCTATTATGAGTAGACATCATAGATGTCCATGGCGCTGCCGCTGCCGCCACAGCGTTAGCGATACCGTTTTCAAAATCTCATCGCGGTGCGGTGCGGTTCGGCTGCGGGGGATTTTCAGTCGCGATAGACATCTATGGTAGACAGGCATCAACAACACATTGGACATGAATGTGACTTTAAACTTCATCTACTGCGCTATTATTTTGTTGAAAGCATAGCTATGCACACATATGTTTTCACTGATTTGACCATTATGATTCGTAAGCTGCAAAATGATTCTTGAAACTCGTCAAATAACTCGAAGGTTTACAATAATGTCCTAGAGGACTGCCATGAAAAAAACAATTTAAATACCTCGTAAAACTCTGAAACTATTAACAAATTTCTTTAAAAAATATAGTATACTATATTATCTGCAATTGTATTCAATTTTTTCTCTTTCAAAGGTCAAGAACTTAAAGATGTGCATAATTAGAATAATTAAAAATAACTTGTTTTTATTTAATCAGAATATCAAACAGTACAGTCATACTAGCAAAATATTAGAGAATCAAATACTATTCAAATTGTTCTACTCTTATCAAAGCTTTAAGACATGTTACATTATTCGTTGTTCTGAACTTCGTTTTCTAAATTCATATTTAATTATTCGTCATCGTAGAACAAGAAACTGAAGGAATACGCTTAGATTCTAACAGCAAATGTTGAATTTTCGTCTTCAGTTGTACAGAAAAGCTATTAGCTAATAAAATAGAGCAAGTAAAAATTAAAATTCAATTCAACAGTAAGGTGGATGACAAGAACAAATCTTTATCGTAAAAATAAAACATTAGTGTCTTTTTAAAAGATGAACTTTATGTTGGAAACATTGTTGTATTTTTTTTCAAACAAACCATTCGCTATAATAGATCAAAGTCAGTTATACAAAACAGATATCATCCTTCATAGCAGTTCATACTAGTAAAATAAAAGTCTGTACAAAAGGCTAAAGAGAAAAAAGAGAGAAAAAAAATTACTGTTATACAAACAATGCTCACTACACTTCGTTGGAAGTATTTCGAGATTTAGTGTTTTTTTTCTAAATAACATATGAGAAAAGCAAACTCAATGAAATAAAAGCAAGTCCAGATGTTTGTATAAAATCACGAATAAAATACAAATAAGCAAAGTTATTGATTGTATAAATACTGTAGCTGGGCTATAGTACGGACAGTACGGGCACTGATATGATCCACAAACCTTGGTAAAAGAAAAGAAAAAAGAATATATTAATTAGATTTAACAATATTCTGTCGATTAATCTTACTTCACAAATATCTAATGCAAATAAATTTCGTAATGTATAAATACTACGATTCATATTAGCTGGTTCAAACCATTCATAAGCTCGTGCTTCATAGTAACGTGATATGTTGGCAACCGGAATCCATCGTTTTGCTTGAAATTGAAAACATATCGGATCAAAATCAATATATTCAAAGCCAAAATTAATTTGTCCTGGCCAATTTTCTGCTTCACGTAAATTACGTGTATTACGATTTCGTATCATTGTTTTCAAATCTTTTTCTTCAACACGATAGCCAGTTGGAATTTGAATTTCAATCATGACTGTACCACTACGCGAGGCTTTCAATACATTAACATTTTCCGACCGCCAAGAGAGACATACATGATAATCAATTGTTGAAAAGTTACGACCAGATAACCATGGTTGAACATCAACTGAAAATGGAACGTAAGATGGACGACGTACTCGAGGATCAAATTCAACATTGACACCAACATGCACCTAATGAAAAATTTTATCTGTGAGGGATTTTTTTATCGATAGAAACTCATTACATACTTGAATAAGTGCATAGCCGTTGCCGAATCCATCGATATAGACTACACCCCAAACATTTTCTATATCACGAACTTGAGTTTCAATGATATTATCATCAACAATTAAAACTGGACTATTATCATCATCGGGAAATGACGATGATGTTAAATTAATACGTATATTATACGCTGTTATTTCAAAACCACGCAAAACTGCATAACCAACGATAGCACGTTGTGCAATACACGAATCATATGTAGCAGACCAACCACCAATAAAATTACGCATTGATTGAAGCCACAGAACTAATCGAAAATATGAAAAATACACTCTCATCTTGATTTGAATGTGGATGGGAGTCAATCAGGTATACCGAGTTATCACGAACGTAACCAGACGTACAATTATCTTGACGTTCGTTTAAGTTTAGATTTAGTTATTTGTAAAAATTGTTCAATTTTCATTAGTACATTTTCACACGTTCGGTATTTAGATCAGTCATTTAAGTGTGTGTAGATCTAACGTAGTCACATATGTAATATTCTCTTTTATTCTTATTGTTACGTTCTCCTGTTAATCGACTGAAAAAAATTACAACAAAAACCGAACTCAAAGGTTCAGATACAGTGCATGTCTAGACTGAATTACGAGCTAATATGACGATCTCATAGTTGCCATATTCTTGTCGTTATCACTTACAAAGTGTACAAATTTTTCACAGACGAATCAGAATAGATTTTTAATTTCACATTCAGATATCAACTAAAATCTGCTTGACTTGAGAATGAAACTAATATAGAACAAATAGTCGATTTTTAGAGCTCGTAAAATTGATTCATGTTCTCGATTAAATGAATACATTTCATACCGTCTCTGCGTTTGTTTGTTTTTGGAATAACTTACCCGATTGTTCAGCGTGTTTAACTTTAACTCTATGTGTATAAACCATAACGACAAAAGCTGTAGCAGACACAGCGTGAGCTTCAAAATTGGTTGGTACTGGCTTTGGTTCAAATCGAGGATTAACATTTGGCCATGTTTTTGTCATTCCAGGTAAATTTAAATTTGAATAATAAATCCCATTCTGATCTGAAAATTTCACAGAAAAAAATACTATGTTCAATGCTCATAACTATATTACACTTACTCATTCGTTTAAATAAATTTAACATAGAAAATGCTACATCTTTTTCAGCACTATTTGTTATATGTAATGCATACGTAACGATTGCCATGTCGAACGCATCATCGATTAAACGAAAGTGTTTTTCTAACCATTGTTTTCCTCGGTTAATCGCACCTGTTAAAAATTTTGCTGGTACTCCACGTATGTCAATATTTGATTGTAAAGCAATTACAACTTGTGCCGTCAAAGATATATTCAGCAATTGATAGGTACCACTTATATTTGTCAAGCGATAACAAAATTTATTTCGATCTTCAATTGTTGTCAATTCAGCCCATGAACCATTGGTTTGCTGAATATTTAGCAAAAATACAACAATATCTGAGCGAAGTTTTGGGTCAATGTATAAACCTTTTTCTTCCCATTCTGGATAAACAGCATCACTTAATGTCATTAATATCCATGCGGTAATCCATACTGATGTTTCATTTGAAAACCCAAATTGACTAAATGAACCTTTTCGCCATGGTTCATTAGAATCATTGTCAATATACATAGCCATAAAACGCTGATACTCCATATTTGCGTAGGTTAATACTGTTAATAATTTGTTTTGATCAAATGCACGACCGCCATGACCTAATGTGTACGCAAACAAATAAAGTTAAGTATGAAAGTTCATGCTTCGTGTGTAAATGATTTTTCTGAAAGCTTTCGAATCGACCTGTTGAAAACTCTCTAGAAATAACAGACAAATCTACTTATATAGCTACAATATGCAAACGATATATGCTCTTAAATATTCTTAATTTGTAAGCAACCTTTTACTTCTCTTACAACCACATAAGTTGTAACGTGACTTTGTATAATACAATGCTAACACTAGTATAGTGGTGGCCAGATATTGAGTGTGCTCAGAGACTAATTCGACATATGCAATCGTTCATAGCAAACAAAGTTCGAAGAATACAAAGGAAAAATTTGTTCTACACGGCTACTTCAGTTTCAGGCATTTTGCTCACAGTCATTTATTTTAAATTATATGAGCGATTTTAACTACACTTAAAACATGATAGATCAATTCTACTGCAAGTCATGAAGATAATTCAGTTTGTTTTCTGGACTAGAGAGAGATAGTCATATAGAATAAGGAATCGAACAATATCAAAATTCTCATTTAGAGAAGTATCTCGACAGATCGGTTAGTTTTCAAATACTTGTGAATTCATTTCAAGTAGGAATCTTTATTTGGTTCTCAAATTTCAATGATCAAGATTTGTTTCTATATAAAAAGCACTACAAAATAGACTTGACTGCTCTAGATCATCGGTCTAATTTGATAAAATCATGATTCTTAATATAGTTTTGATGAATTTGGTTACAAGAAAATTTTAATTTTAATTGTAGTACTTATGCAAAGTAAATTATGCCTTATTTTTGTATGAAATTAGTTTGGATATCTATCTTATTCAATAGGACATATGTGTAGACGAAACTCGAGTCTAAGCAACATGCTTAGAATTAGATATTTATTAATGTGCAAAAAGAAAAAAGGTTCATTGATATATTATATTTACCTTGTAACATGTATCGAAGATTATAAATCATCATAGCAAAATCAAAAACACCTGCATCACTGGGTGCAGTTGTACGCTGAATTAAATTGTCCGTATTTAACCATTCATCGTAACCTAATAGAAAATAAGGACCAGCCACATCTCCAGATATAAATATTTCACATGTAGCTGAACCATAAACATAATCCCAAACGCTTGATAGTGGAAGAATGAAATGTTGTGGAACAGTAATATCGTATTCATTTACTTGTCTTGGTAAATTATTAAGGGATAAAACAGTTGGAGTATGATAGTAATTGCGGACACCTTCATAATTAACTTGGATTATTTCACGAAAAAAATCACGCGAAACACCAGTGATACCTGATAAACAGAAAAAACAAAGCTATTTATTTTGCATATTATTTTAATTCAAGACATAGAACTTAGCAAATCAATCTTTTTTTAAATTTTTAATAAATAATATGAATATAATGATAATTTACATGAAAACCTCTATTAGATTTTATATGGCGTCCGCATGATTAAATATTTCAAAGGGATATTCCGTTATATTTCTCCAATCACTTTAATTATCAATAGTTTGAAATAGTTTGAAGAAATTTTTAATAATTTTGAGAATTGTAACGGGTTTTCAGCTTGGCGAGGCCAATATAATACTTGCGATCACAATACGTTAGAATATATAAATTTAGCAGAATATCAATTCAATATTATATATAGAACGATTCGAAAAATTGTAATGCGAAGAAACTTTGAAGATTTTATATCCGAATCTTGCATAGGATTTATCAACATTTGACTCACCTGTATCTGTTAATCTATGAGTTATACGCATTCTTTTTATGTATGAAACTAAGAATTGGCCAATTCATCTATTCTAATTTCTACTTTGTAAACAGCTTAGGTGGCTAAGTGTGAAAATGTTCTAATAAACTTGCTTTAAAAAATACGTAAGTCATGATCCCTTGCAGGTATCTTATCGATCCTCACACAAAACATTTCAACGTATCAATCATGATGCACAGAGAAGTATCGGTTTTTTAAATATTAAAAACGAATTTTCTCTTGAACACCTTTTCATGCTAAAAATAACGTTATATGATAATGCCAGACGGTCACAAAGGTCATATATAATTGTTCAAGATTACATATATGTATGAAATTATTTTCTTGCCTTCAATCATAACTTCCACTTCACCAGCTACAATCGGTACAAATGGAAGATAAAGTCTTCGTACTTCATTTGGATATAATGTAACAAGTACGTGATGATCACCATCGGTTAGTTTTGGGCTATAAGAGGACACAATGCCATTTCGATCAAGATTAATAAAACGATAATGATCAGATGCATGTAAAATAATTAATGCTTCAATACGATATGTTTGAAAATTAAAAACATCAACACGTGCCCCAATTTGTTCACCAAATCGAACGATAGGTGGAACTTCAACTTTAATAAAAAATTGTCTTGTACCTTCGTATATAAATGGTACATTAACAACACCAAAACCTGTTAAACGACTAACAGCTAGTGCTGTTATTACCCATGTAGCAATTACATTAGGTACAGTTGTACGAAATTGTACACGACCATCTGGATAAGCAAATTGTTGATGCCACATAAAATCAAGCTGCAATTCACGTTCCCAATACGGCCATAACCGAAGATACAATGGAGTAAAATCATATTGACTTACTGTTGTTGTACTTATATTACCTAAAAGCAAAAAAAGAATTATAAGAAATTTTGAAATTTTCTTTTAAATTTAAATTTACAATTAACTTCATCTGAACCATCACGGCAATCAAGAATGCCATTACATTTCAATTGCAATGGATAACATAAACCATCATTACATTGAAATAAACCATATTGATTACAAGTGGTTTGTATAGCTTGTACGTTAACATCAGTGAAGATTTGCATACCTGTTGAGTTAAATGTTGAACCAGCATCATAACCATATGATTGTGATGAGAAAAATACTCGATTTGAGGCAATATTAATTTCAGAATACCATGTATGTTGAAAGCTGGTTGTTGAATGACGATCGAATGAATATAATTCATCATGGATCTAAATGAAATAGGATAGATATATATATTTATATATACGTATACAAATAGATCGACGGTACATATGCCAAAACTACATTAATCTTCGAGTTAGTTTGCATTTCACCGGCGACGTAAGAAATGTTTCAATAATGTACTTTTATCTTATAAAATAGGAATCTCTCGTGAACACTGAAGTATTCTGTAGTGAGATAATGCACATGGATAAATTCAATAAACCTTCTATAGATTCGAAATTATAGCTGCGCACTTCTTCAGACTAGTTTTACATAATTTACTTTTTCTCAATATAGTAGGCATTACTGGTAAATAGTGAAGCAATGAAAAAATTTAGTAATGAACAATAATTGGTCACATCTATATTTATTTTTCTTTTTCTTCATTATGAATATTTACCATCACTGGACTAATATGATTTCCAGGTGGAAATAATCGTGCTTGTACAAGACCAAGGCCAGCAAATGCAACGTAGGACTGTGGTGATGCATATGCCAAAACTTCGATTGTATTTCCCGTGAAATCTTTTCGTCGATTTATTGTTATATTAACTTGATTTTTAATCGATGAAGTATCGATGTGAAAATTCATACTATCAGCAACAATTTCACCGTCGTAACGTACATAATAAACAAGCAGATGAGCCGATGGAGCCATCTGACGACTGATACCAACATCGAAAGTTTTTTGTTTAGCACCATCCATTGGAAGAATATTTGTAAAGATCAATTTGCCAGCCGATGTTATATGATAATAAACAAAATCAACGTATTGTGTTATATTCACACGAAATAGCATAAAATCACCAACGCGCGGTGTTTCTGTAGTAGACGTAACTTGTAAATAACTATTTGATGGTGATAAATAGCGTATAGCACGTTGTTCATCTTCACTGTTGGGAACTTTAATGTTTTTATCATATAATTCCGCTCGAAGTCGTATAAATGTTACTGTTGCATCAGAAGGAGTTAAAAACTTATGTTTAATTATACCCGATGTGTCAATCTTGTAATCTACTGGAGTTTGTGCTTGACCACGATCTGTATCTGTATAAATACGAATATATCGACCTGAACCAGGAGGATATTTTGTACCATCATCATTGACAGCTGCAACATAAGTAGTGAACATCATACGAGGCTTGAATACCATCGATGGCCCACCAAGAAAATGAAGACGTACACCAGGTCTATAGAACGAAACTATCGTTGTACCTGCAATAAAAAAAATATTATTTATGAAAATAGATAATCTAAAACTTTCGAAATCATAATATCAGTGATTTCATGTTTCGTCAATTAATTTCTATTTGATATATAAAATGGAAAAATAATAAACATCTTGAAAATAACTTTTCATAGTAATAATATAGAATATTCTATTTGTTCATGTTGATAAACAATCTCAATAAACATGAATCAAATCATATGCAGCTGTCACTAAAAGTCTTACTACCAGCTAAAAAATATCTTACCATGAAATTTTCTTTGAGTATTCTCAGCAAGAAAACTGATGAAGTGCCTCAAAAATTAATTTACGCGTTCGGTTATTGTCATCTATGTATTATGCAAGTTTCTTAAGTTATTTATCTGTTCTAATCAATTCTCTCATAGAAATTGATCAGTAATATAGTTATTGACAGAATGAATATTATTCAGAAAAATATTTCAGATAATAGAAACGCCGATGTTTATCTCGATCACAACAGATTTTTGACTCATTTTCATGATTTAGTAAAACATATGGAGTATTATTTATCAATAGAAAGATCAATTCTAACGCCTTAAAATAACAGCGAATATGCTCAGTGCCGAAGAAAAGATTTCTTTGAGCAAAAACAAAATCTAGCTTTCCTACTGAATTCGCCGCAATAAAAGACACGAATATCTGACTATAGTAAAAATATCAGCTAAAATAGATAAAATGTTCATTACCCTGTAGTTGATCTGCTAATGTCGGGTGATTATTGTGCAGTACATAGTCTCAGAAGGCGTCCAATTGAGTTTCTCACAAAAATAAAGTATAAAATGGGTTGCACAAATAACTAGCAGATTGCTATAAGAGTATTTTGATTACTTAAATGATCTAGATAGAATTCATATTTTTAAATCTAATCAGTACGTATTTTTAATTAGTTCACTTTGAATTCTCAGTCGATTTCTTCATTTTTCATAATGAATCGCGATTACTGATTGGTTTATCTCATATTCATATTAACTTTTTTTTTCTTGATATAGTGTTTCAATTGAATTTAATATTACTCTTATGATTAATGTAAATATATGTCCACATGTGACTTCATACCAGCTATTTATCTTCAACTAAAGCTTAAGATCATCTACGATTTAAATAAAAGATAGATTGAGTGTCCTTGTTGACCAAAGAATGCAAGCACTCGATGAGAATAATAATAAAAACGAGCTATGTTAAGATAAATTGGAGTGTTTTATGGTACATCCGTTTTGTCCTAGCTATTGGACTTTGATATAGATTCATTACTTATTGTTATGCCTTCAATTTTCGGAAGCACTAACGACAGCAACAATAAGTATCTACTACTTATAGGGATATCGATTAAATCAGTTAACTATAGAATTTTAATATCTTGTAACTAACCATTGTTTGTCTCGTTCCACCATGGATCATGTACAACAGCTGTTATTAAAATTTCATTTCCATCCAAATCTGGTAAAAATGCACGAATAGTAGATATAGGAATAAAAAATCCAGCGACGCCATTAAAATCATTAATTTCAGTTCTATATGATGGCGTCGTTCGATCTAATTCAACGTCAGCTAATGGATGCAAATATGGATTAAACGGTATAGACATATTACGTGCTCGAACAACAATTCGAGCATGACCAAGTACACCCATTCCAGTCGTATAATTTGCTGTTATAATACCACCAATACCAGGAGTATCAATCGGTAAATAATATGGAACAGTAATATTAACTTCAAATTTTCGATTATAAAATTCATAGATTTCAAATGTTTTTATTGCTTCATAGCCCATTACTCGGCATTTGATCGACCAAACACCTTCTGGTGGCGCATCATTGATTGGATACTAAACGGAAATATTACATTATAAATACAGAAGTTAAATAAATAGAAAGTTCAAATTTTTTATTTTTTATTTTTTTTACTTCAAGTGAAACTATTCCCGCAGTTGTTTGTTGATTTTCCCATTTACGTAAAATATGTCCCGATGGACCAAGAATATATACATCAATCGTATGAAAATAACCGCTTAGATCTGGATAAATAGGTATACAACGAAATTGTACAACAGTTTCATGACGATAAACAGGTCGATCGAGTTGAATAAGAATTGATACAGCTTTTTGTTCAAATATTAATTGTGAAATATTATAAAATTTTCTTTCACCTGTTAGTAACTTTCCTTCAATTATCAAACGATATGTTCCATTACGAATATTGTTTGATATACGCATTTTTAATGTATGTGGGACATTAACCATAACTAAATCTTCCGCAGCTGCAATAGCCATATCATCATTCGATATTAATGCTTTAACTATCATTGAATTCCATTCATTACGTAATATTGTTACACTTACAGAAACTATTTGTGCAGGTCGAATTATACGTGGACCTAGTATAAGATAAGACGGTGTAATTCGTAATCGTGCTTGTTGTGATGTGACAATATTAAGTGAAGTTTGCCGACGATAAATAGAATGATTAACAGAAGGATATGAATTGAATTCTGCATTATCATTAAAACTATTTGTATCATTTGGAGAATAAAAAGGAAAAAATTCTGACGATTGATAGGCTATAGCTGTTGTGAAGCAATGTAATTGCAAGATGAAAATAACACTCCACTGTCCCATCTGAAATCGAAATGATTTGAGCATCGTTATAAAACGAACTAATAAAAAAATCTTGAAATCGGGAACATTTTTTGATAGACAACGTGGTTCATTTTAGATTGATTTTGGTTGAATAATCAATGAGTACAGTAATGATGGCATCCACTTAACTAACAAGCTATAATCTAAAATATTTCTTAATCATAACCAGAAACAGCAGAGACAGACAATAAACTATTTATTACACGTCTCTTCTAGGCTATTGGGTGTCGTTAAATATCAGATTGCTCGTATGAAGTGATTTTTCTTTACAGGGTAGATCTTATCAGAAGAAAAATGTTCTGTGCCAAAAGAAAAAAAATTCATTATTATTTGAACTTTATTAAGAAAACTTTCTTCAATCAATGAACCATATCTATAAACATTGATGATTGATAAGAACGCAATCGTCTCATCTATGTACAAAATTTGTATGAATAATTGAAAATATTTTGCTAAACTGTACCAATTATTTACATAAGTATGTCACTGTAATTTAGAGAAAACTTAACTTGTATTAATAGTTACGCAAAGTCGAGTTTGATTTCTAATATAAAGATGAATATTATTTAATTTAAATAAAAGAAAAAGATTTAAAATAACTATAGGCGCACAATCAGCACAGCTTGACCAGAAGACTATTCGCATGAGAAGAGCTCAGTAATCTAGAAATTAAATTTCAAGTAGAACTGAAACAGTTTAAGAATATCGTTTTTAATATCACCAATATCTATTAATTTACCTGTTGAATCGGCATCAATGATTGATAGAATATGTACAAATCAATAGTAACAAAATCATTTTTGAAAATGAATACAAGTGTCTTACTGAATGATATTGTTTAGTACGAGTAGGAATACTATATATAATTGAACTGGATCACATTCATTAGAAGAGATATTTTATGAATAGATAACATAGTAAAACAAAATAAATCCTTGATCGCCTTTTTTGCCATGAAATATATATCATCGACTTGAGATCATTTTCTATGAACGATAGTCATATACTTAGAGCATGTTCCGAACATAAGAAAAAGTTCTATTCATAATCTTTCTTCATACTTTAAATTACATATATACATTTCTCGCATTGTATATCGTGGAGTTTCATCGTTATAAACATGGCGTAATTTTACATGATAATTTGTTTAAAGATATTCAACATAAAGAATTTGTCGAGAAAATGAACTAGTCCTACATGTTGTTGAATACAATTCATAACTGTTTCTCTTTCATGAAGATAACCACTTGTACCACGAATCAAACCGTTGCTGAACTCACATGTAATGGAGCGTATAGATTCATTACCGATGCTGTTCTTATGGTCGTTCATTTAAAAAATGACGAGAAGAAAAGAATAGCGCATTCTTTATAAGTTCGAAACATGATATCCTTGCGTACATGCATGTGATAACGTAGAATACGATATCCAGATATGTTTTGGTTCAATTAATCAAACGCTTCGATTGTTTTGTGCTATTTAAACAAGCAAAAAACATATTCACAGCTGATTCTAATCTTGAAAAGAAATCAAAACTTTCAGTAATAACTATAGAAACACATTTGTTTTTGCACTGAAAACATTTGATAGTTTTTTTTCTATCTATATTGAGAAACGTTTTGCTGGAGTCATTGAAGATCTCCTCGTAACATTTGATTTTGTTCTCACTGAAAAATGTGATTGCTAATTTTATTATAATATTTTTATATAGTCCGATCAACTGAAACATATGAAATGTAACAAGACAATCATTTTTGTTCTCATTTCTACAAATAGTTCGGATAACGATGTTTTTTTTTTTACGTCGAAGTCAACGCTAAAGCTATTGATTGAATTAACAATTCAAATGTCGTGCCCTTTAGACTTGAAAATAGATCTTCGACCTTGATATTCTTATCTGTCTCCTCAAAAGTCCTACAATACAACATTTCATTGAGCCAACGAGATCAATAGATGTTTTCGTTTATTTAAATTACTCATCACTTTATTTTACTCAATTTGAAGAACGAGTGTAATCACAACAATCCTGTAGTCGTTTTTTATTCATGTTTTGTAAATACTTTTGTTTTTCAGTTTAAGTAACTTAGATAACGCTAATGGCTAAATAGCTTCACTTGTAAAAATGCAAACTTTCTGTGAATATCGAAATTAAATCAAAATGAAATAGATACTCTCAATTTCTCGGCACTTATTGAGCAAGAGTATTGACGATTTTGTTTTTTCGAATATCTAAACATGCGAGTTTGACATTGATTTCAATTATACTTAGGTCAACAATTAATTTTATAAAAATTCAAATAAATTTGAAAGATATTTCTCTTTGAGCGAATTATACCTAATCAAACCCTAGACTCAGCGATGGAGAATTGTTATTCCCGTGGGCTTTTTTCTGCTGGAGCAATTGAAATTCTTTTTGCGATGAATTACTTTTCGTCAAGTGATTGGCAGTTCGGTAGGTTTTGAGTGTTAGCAATACGCTTTAGAAGTCGGTAGTATTTTTTCGCTTGGTTCCTCTTCCTCAAATACATGAAACTTTCACAAGTGTCGAATAGTCGAGACGTGCTCAAAGAATCGAACATAAATAGCGTATAAGATTTATTTTATGAGTGCTTGGAAGAAGACGACTAATTTAAGACTGGAAATAGGAACAGAACGAATACAAAAATATGAATTTCAAATTTTCTTAAGTTCATTGTATTCTGTATATCCTTTTCAAAGTCTGCTTAGTAGTTAATGATAGTCAAAATAAATCATTGAGTCATTCTACATATCTGATTAAATGTATTTGTGCAATAAATATCTTTCGTTAGTGATCTATATTTTTCTTTTACAATAATTGGTACATATTCTTTCATCGTTTACAAATATCAAGTAATCAGAGAACGCAATATTTCTCGTATTTCCTAGTATTCATCATTAATAGTATTAATTTCTACATTAGATTGACATGGAAAATCAATTCATTTAATTAATGCTACTTAAAGTTGAGGACCATCGTACCAAATTGAATATGTATGTTAGCAGTCAAATGTCATGATTCTTTTTTCTTCATGAATTTCGAGAAATTCATGAAGAAAAAGAAGAGCATAGCACTTTCATCTTCTACTTCTTCTTGTAGGGAAACATTCATCAATTGACTGTACAATAAATATGATTAAATTTATCTATAATTACAAAAGAACTACAATGAAAAATAGATTTTCCCAAAATAATATAACAAAAAGGATTCGATTTTTATTTTGCACTTTTTATTTTACAATAGTTGTCATTGGCAAACCTTTTTTGTTCGCAGTCCATTGTAGTGGCGTAACCAGGGTAGGACATGGTTGGACTCAGTCCAAACGCCGGGGCTGTGCGCCCTATCACCGGTCGTTTTTAGAAAAAGATCTTTTTTTATGATGCTAGACACAATAAAAAACTGCACGATTGCATTCCTTCCGATCTCTTTTTTAGTTGATACCAAAACTTTTTGCATTACAAAAGAAAACTAATTTCTCCTCATTATGCAATGAAATCTACGTTCTGAAGTAGATGTTGAAAGTTTCAAAGTTAAACGGTAATAATCTCTATGCCGAACCATTTTCGAAGCAGACAATAATTTAGAAAAGCACTTTTAAATGTACATACAACGGACAAACGGGTCAGGAAAAGTGGTTGTGTTTGTATGACCATCAGGGATCCTAGTTGTGACCTAAAAATGACCTTTTTTCGCTCTTCCTTGTGCGTTTAAACGTGTTGTGAGCCAAAACACGTGAAAATGCATTACAAAAAGACAAAAAGTGGTGATTTTTTTTCGTACTTCAGAACTTTATTTATGATCTCCTCACAGATAACTACTATGAAAAAACAACCACTTCTTGTCTTTTTCTAGTGCACTTACTGTACATGCATTTACAAACTTTTTTTGGCTGAAAACGTGTTTAAACGCACAAAAAGAGCGAAGAATGGTCATTTTTCGCTTAAAAACGACCGCACATAATACAATGTCGAATACTTGGTAGAGTGATTTTTCTCGTTTTAGAGGTAGAACACGATTTCAACATTAATTTCGAAAAACTAATGGAGAATTTTGCTGACTTCCCCAAAAAGTACTAAATCCTTTTAGAGTAAAACCTTGCGAATCATAATTTGTGATTCTTTATTTCTTTTAATTAGCAAACGAAACAACCTTGAAAATAACGTTTTTCAAGTTGAATACATTATTGTATTTTTATTCTATGAAAAGAAAGTTATGAATCACCCAACATAATCTTTTGGGAAAATGTTAGGGCTCAGCCCAACCGCCCGATAAATCCAGGTTACACCACTAGGCCATTGATGATTATAAGTTAAGAATCTACATTTTTTTTCTAATCAAAACACTACGTAATCATAAGAAGAATGATTGTAAAAATATGAGAATGGCGTGTCAATGTATGACTCTCAATAGAAACAAAAGAATGTTACTAAAGACTACCGCTTGTGCATAATTATAGCATATGTATAATTGCTTTTCTTCATTTTACACTCATCAATACCTAGAAAATGATCACGTGACTAACTCTTCATTCATATGTATTTATCTTATTTGATTTATTATTCAGTAGATAAGAAAAACTTAAGAGTATTTCATTATATTTTTCAATACACATAGAAAAAAAGAATACAATAATATGAAAAAACGAAAGGCGCGATTAAAAACTACAATATACACTTGTTTATTTGGCTTGTTCGTTGTGTATCATCTTCCATGGGTAAGACATGTACATACAAGAAACAAACTTTTGATTTCCTTTTTTGCTAGGATAAAAAGAATATTTTTAGTATCACATAGTGCAATTAATATGGTGATGAAGAGAGAGAGAGAGAGAGAGAGAATAAATAATAAAACACACACACAGACACTTATCTACAGCTATTAGTCTATTAACGTTTTATAAAAAAAAAGCAACACCAAAGAAGTTCACATCAATAATTTCGAAGTGTAGTTCCGTCATTTTCCAGTTTAACAATGGTAGAAATTCAGAAGTGATCTTACAAGGATCATGTTTGACGATTGATTCTGTTTCTTCATGATCCGTATTTAATAGAAACAAAAAAAAACGAATTATTAGATGTGAACATCGTATTTCTACTTCCAATTTCCTATCATTTCTAGACAGAACTAACTTAACATCATTCACCAAGGAAAACATGAAAAAACTTATTACTGTTTAATCAAATGTTGGAGGAAGTGTAGATGAATTTCTGTTTTTTGTAATTAAATGTTTTTTCTTCTTGCTTTTGAACCACTAAATTAAGTGGTTGATCAACAGAATAACTATGCGTTAGACAATTATTTAGTGATATTGGAACGGCTTGTTTACGTTTCGTTGATGTTAATGATGAAGATTGAGATGAACTACAAAATTTTTTTTCGTTATCATTATTACTATCAAACGAGACGGGTGACGATGAACTTGATCGATCGCTTTTTGACGCAGAATCATTAGGTGTCGTAAAGAATGGACTATTAGCTGAATTGAAATTTGGTGTTGCTGGTGTACTAGATGGTGAATGAACGGAAAAAATTTGAAGAAATCGATTAGTCATTTCGTTTGATGTTTCTTGTCTGTGAAAATTTGATGTCGACGATAATGATACTGAAGGTTTTTTATTTATTGTCGAATGAATTGTATTTGCAGTATCAACATTACGTTTTATAGTTTTTCGAATTTCATCTGGTGAACGCATAAAACGATATAATAAACGTTTGGATTGCTCTTTTGTAATAATATTATTTGAATAATAATAACGCATGCCACGTGATAATTTTTCGTATGTCATGGATAGACGGTTTTTTTGAAGGCCTATTAATGAAAAAAATATCATTATGATCAATTATAATGTTCGCATAAATCGCATATTTAAAAATTATTTATGCTGACACTTCAAATATACAATGTTTCAAGGTTTATCGAAATCATTCTTACTAATAGTCAGATTCGGACGACCCATTCTAATTCGCATCTTCTTCGTACGAATCATTAAAAAAAACGGATTTTCGACAAAAGTCATTAACATGAGGTTGAAAAAAAACAGATTTTTTCTGTAGCGTTAGCAGCATAGATTATCAATAATTGAATATAAGCTTTTGCATACCCCAAAGTGCAGCAAGTTTATCAGCTTGAACTATTCGAAAAATCATTTTTTCACGATTTTCCCAATGAATTATTGATTCATAAGATGGATCTTCAAGTAAAATATATAAAAATTCCCATAAAATACGACAATCTAAATAGAAGAATTGTATAAGAAAAATATAAATATAAGAAAACTCGTACTTCTTGCTCCTGGTGGTTTCATTAGAATATCTCCATGAAAATCCACTCGATCATGATAATAACGTATTGTTTTTGTTGTATCACTTCCGGACATATCTGTTAAATCGTCTATTTGTCGTTTTAGTTTTGATACTAATTGTGAATGAAATTTTATTGGATTGGCTTCATGTACTTGTTCAGAAACAAATGGTGCACTTGATGTTACTGATTGACATGAAACATTTTCACATTGTTTAACATTAAGATCTTGACGATCTATATGATCTATATATTCTTGTTTCATAGATGACATTGGGACATAAACATTATTTTGCTCAAACGATTTTGAAACTGAAAGAAAATAAAAGAAGAAGAAATAGTAGTTAAAAACAAAAATGAACACACTTGACGATGAAGACGAATTTGAGAGTTGTCGAGTTTTTGTTGGTTGTTGTAACTTTGTAAAATTAGTTTCGTGTTTCTTTTCACAACGATCAAACATATAATTAACATTTGGATGCATATAAGGCACGGGTGCTGGTGCTGGTGCTGATGGTGGTGGTGGTGGTGGAAATGGAATGTTAAAATGACGGAGAGATGCAGGAGGAAAGAGACCGAAGTTCCCCCAAAATTGATATGGAAAGACTATAGAATAGAAGTCAATACGTTTAGTTTTTTTTCTTGTTTAACAAAATCTTTCATTAAAATTACTACCTTGACACGTCAAAGATTTAATCAAGGCATTATGTTGTTGAAGCGCTTTATGTAAAATATCACCAGAACGTGATGAACGTTGTTTAAAACTATCTTCATTCAATAACAATAACGCTTTACCTATAAGTAATTAAATGGTTACACATATTTTGAAAATTTTTGAAGATATTTTCCTCAAAAGATATAAACTAAGGTCAAAATTATTGATATTAAAATAAATCCTTAAGAGTTTAGTTGAATTTCTAGCACTTTAAAAAACAGAGCCAGGCACTCGCTTTGTTTTTTCCTCTTTTTATAATATGTGGATCACACATTCCAAAATTCCCAAAGGGAATTTCATTTTTGAGAATTGCACTTTATTTGTTCGTTTCAAAGAGCATGTCAAGATACTAGGTGTGACAAAGTAATACTATTACAAAAAGAAACTGTAATTCGTAATTGAGTACTGTTGTTCGAGTGCTTAAAATTGTCATCTGTTTTTAGTGCTTAAATAGTAAGAAAGTAAAAGCAAAGACTTAGTCATGCTCTGAATTTTGGCATATTTCTTTTTTCAACTAACCGAAAAATATTGAATATACGTAATCAAAGTTGACAGTGAACTCTGGAATTGCTATACAAGCTATTGTTGAATATTATCATTTATTGAAATAGATATTTTCATCTAAGGTCATGTGATAGAAATGATGATTTTATTTACTATAACCTTTCTATTGCGCTTCCAATATATACTTCAATCAAACACTATGACAATTTTTACTCTTAAACGGTATGTTTTCAAGAAACGCGTGTGCAAATTTTTAACTAACCATTCATTTCAAAATCATTCAGATTGATATCTTCTAATGAATATTCATCCATACAATATTCAATCCATTTTTGTACATCATCTTTTGTCCATAAAATGACCGGATGAACTAGCAATAAAATGATACAATACATACATATATATGTATAATTATTTTTTCGAAATTTCTTACGTAAATTTCCAGGTAAATCCATTTTAAATGATGGCATAAAGTGATTATTTGTTGGCACAGACGCACTAGTTACTTTAGTGGCCGTAGTGGCTACCATACTAAAATGACACGGAAATTAATAAATGAAGATTAGTATCTAATTTATAAAAAACGAAAAGAAAAGTAAATGCGATGATGCATTACAAATCATGGAAAATGAAAAACTGAACAAGGAGAGAGAGGAATCATGTTTAGTCAAGGTGCATACTAGTCTATAGTTATTTATATTTAAGCGTATTCTCGTTCTCTGCCTAAAATATGATGTTCGTATTGACGTAGAATAAAACGAATCATTGCGCCTCCTACACAGTGATGTTTTTTTTATAGGACTAATTCCGTTCCTTCTTTATCCATCAAAGGAAGAGAAGAACCAATCGGCCGTAAAGATGAAACGATAAGTTATATCTGATAAGACACATAGGTAGATAAATGTAGTAATATTTAAAATTTCATTAGCTAACAGTCATTAGTGAATTATGTTTATCAAAGTTTGATGAATAAGATCGCTGATTATGCTGAATCGACTCAATAAATGAACAGACTCATTGCTGAAAACTTATTTTTGTAATAAATCTTTGATTTGAGGATTCGTAAAATCAGCAGGCACAGGGAAGTATGCATCCGTGAAACTGGCATAAATTTTTTAAATCATACTTACACTCACAGCGTTCTTTCAGATGTTTTAAGAAAAATAAAAGAAAGCAAGTGAACACTCACGAATGTGACCTCCTTTCTTCGAAAATTTATTGTAGGTCAAGAAGAAAGATCCGTTATTTTTGATTTTATCGTCTGCATCGGAAGTTCAAGAGCACTATTCTCTCACAACAGAAGACATATCCCGTTCTATTTTTGTGCTGTTTCACTCTCGGTCAGTCGACGGTGAGAAAAGAAAAGGTATTATTCTAAGTGGCTTTTTGAATATATATATATGTATGCATATATATGTACTGGCCTTGTTCTGTTCTTGCGTGGGGGGGGGGGGGGGGGGGGGGGGGGGGGGGGGGGGGGGGGGGGGGGGGGGGGGGGGGGGGGGGGGGGGGGGGGGGGGGGGGGGG